TGTGTGTGTGTGTGTGTGTGTGTGTGTGTGTAAGAATAGTGAATGTAGATAGGATAAGAAAATTATGACTCAGTGACTCTGAAGGCCACTAGGGTGTGTTTTGGAACCCGACACTTCTAAGACAGATCTAACTTGCAGACACTTTACCTGTAACTGTTGTTTAAAAGACCACCATCAATTCCCATCACCAGTTTCTCTGCCCAGATACAACTGAACAAAACAATTACTTCAGAGGAGCCAAAAAAGATGACACATAACCAGTTATGCCAAAACTTTTACTACACTTTACCCAAACTATCACTTGAAGATTATGCATCTGTGGTGGTTCGACCTTGGCTGGAGGCCAGGTGCCCACCAAAGCCACTCTATTACTCCCCTCCTCAGCTGGACAGGGGAGAGAAAAATACAATGAAAGGCTTGTGGGTTGAGATAAGGGCAAGCAGGTCACTCAGCAGTTACCATCATGGACAAAACAGACTTGACTTGGGGAAAATTAATTTATTGCCAATCAAATCAGAGTAGCATAATGAGAAAAAAAAACCCAAATCTTAAAAACCTTTCCCCCCACCCCTCCCTTATTCCCAGGTCCAACTTTACTCCCAATTTCTCTACCTGCTCCAGCACAAGCCCTCCACGGGGTCACAGCCTCCTTCAGGCATCCACTTGCTCTGGCATGGAATCTTCCATGGGCTGCAAGTAGGTATCTGCTGCACCATTAACCTCCATGGGCTGCAGGTGGACAGCCTGCCTCACCATGGTCTTTTCCAGGGGCTGCAGGGGGATCTCTGCTCCAGAGCCTGAGGCACCTCCTCCCCCTCCTTCTTCACTGACCTGGGTGCCTGCAGGGCTGTTTCTTTCATGTATTCTCTGTCCTGTCTCCGGGTACAATTGCTCCTGGTGATTTTTCCCCCCTTAAATATGTTATCCCAGAGGTGCTACCACTGTCACTGATGGGCTCGGCCTTGGCCAGCAACAGGTCTGTCTTGGACCTGGCTGGCATTGGCTCTATCAGACTCAGGGGAAGCTTCTGGCATTTCCTCGCGGAAGCCCCCCTGCTACCAAAACCTCGCCACACAAATACAGCATTACTCACAGGTTGTGCTATGCTTCAGTCGTATTTAGGGAACCATTTAAGTCAGCCTTGCAATCACCTTACTTTGGCTCACCAAGCAGCAGCATATGCATTGGTTTTGAAGGTATGGGACTTGACTATCTAATAAATTACAAGGACTCACTCTTGAAATCACTTTAGGATTTAGCATTTTTAGAGATTAAGTGTCAATCATTATCATTCTGGCACTAGGAAATCACAAGTAACAATTTAAAAAGTGGCAACATGAATTATATTCAACTGCCAAACACTTGAGTTCTTGACTCTCTTAATTCAGAAGAGCCATCAGTAGCTCTCCTGATAGTTTGGAACCTTTACTTATTACAAGCATGCAGGAGGTATATGGCCATCACACGTGGTCACCACAGCAGAAAAGAAGTTTGAAGACAGACATCAAAAAGGCTTGTAAAAAAAGCCTAAAGATAGTCAGTGCCCCAGCCAGTGCAGTGGTTTTAGAAGAAATTTAGGATGAAGCCACTTCAAGTTTTACTTAGAATATAACATTCTGTTAGGTTTTTCTCCTTATTGGCAGGTATTTTTTAAATTAGAAGTTCTGATGAAAACAGAAAATAGTACTACAGACTGCACGCTGTGCAACATTCTTGTTTTATTTATGTGTCATTCATTGTAATTTTCTTTTTCTATTCCCTATGCCAAATAAACTTCACTTTATTTACAGGAGCTAGAATTGGCAATTTATAGTTGTGGGAACAAGAGCACCAGAAAGTCCCTAAAAGAAGAAAACCAACTTCTGACCTTAGAAAGCCGGACACTGAGTAGAAGCAACAGAGTGACTCTGAAGAGAGAGAACAGCAGCTGTATGTAAAAAGGCATTGCAAAGAAGCTGGAACAAGCCCATGCAGGAATGGGGAATATTTGGATCTGCAATGCTTCAACTGAACATACTGTAAACATATTTCCTTAATAAAGCAATAGTTAGGGTAGGCAAAGCTTAAACCAATAATTCGCAAAGGGAGAGATCCAGAACTGTGGCATAGATGAGCAATTCCTTAATTGATTTCTGATGTTAGCATTTCAATCAATAGACATTCTCAGCTTAAATGGCAGGCCCAGAACACATTAACTGCTATTAGATGAATACTGAGCTTGTGCTTTCCATAATTTACGTTTTTACCCAGATTACATTTGCTCACTTTTGTTCGCAATACAGTAACTTCAATTAACAGGCACGTTTGTTATTTATACATCATGCGACACGAAAAGCAATACCTTGTCTGGCCCACAATTACTTTTGTTTGAGAGAATGTGACCTACATATAATATGCTCAATTACATACACTTTTTACATATTGAGGGGAACCTTTGCATAGGAAATGCTTTCTATCCCATGCTCTTGAGGAAACAAAACATGACTCAGTAGTAATCTAGGAACTTAGGTAGCTATATTGGTACCACAATTTAATACAATATGGTTCCTCAGTCTGGCTTGCCCACAAGCAAGATGCCAAAGGAAACTGCAGCTCATTCGGTAGCCTGAATAATGTATTGTGTAAGGCAAAATTTTAGAACAGTCATTTATGCAATTAAGCTTAAATTGCAAACAATGCGTGTCATTTTTTTCTACCTTTGAAAATTTTAAACTTGAGAAAAATTTTTTTTCAGTTCAATTATTATAACCAGATGCCTACTGATCCAAAACAAATCCACTAGCACCAATTTCAACTATTTTTTTCAGAAGGTAAGTTGTCCACACATACAATGTAACTGAACACTGAAGCTACAATGACATTAAAAGCCATCAGAAATTATATATATTGTTTACATATATATGTATATCTTTTGATAGCTTGAAAACACATTTCTTTATAAGGATATAGGTAAATGAATAAGTTACTACATGACTGCAGTTACTTCATTTTTGCACCAACTTAATCCACAGTACCCACCACGTTCAAGAATAGGCAACAGCAAAATAGGCAGGCAACCGACTACTGCAGAGTAGCTGTGAGTAGGTAACTTGCACCTTGTTCCTTACTCCATCGTAACTTGTCTGTCTGCTACAAAAAAAGTAACCATAAAGATGGAAGTCACCAGACTGAATGCTGTATGCAGGAGTACTTACCACGAGTATAGAATGGTTCCCACTACTGATGCAAGTTTGCTGTTTTCTTGCTTTTGCTTTGCAAGCCCAAAGTCAGCTACAAAAAGAAAAAAAGATTCACGTGTCAATAATCACCCTCTTTGCATGACAATCAGTGCTGGTTCACAACAGCTGAAAAGTTGTGGGAGGGTGCAAGGGAGGTTTGGGTTGGTTGCTTTTGGGTTTTTTATCTTTTACATTTTGCAGTATTGGACAATAATATCTTCCTATCTCCACGTTAATCAACAAGTTATGTTGGAATCAGGCCTACCTGCTTTAAAAATATTAAAAACACCTCTGATGCTTTCAATCCAAACTACATGACCAGTTTAAATTTTCTATTAATATATTCCAATCAACTGCATGACAATGGTAAGCATCTAATAAGCAGTGATCTAGTGCCCAAATTAATGGAATATAACAAGGTAATGAAGTTAGTAATTATTTCGCTTTCCTTCAAATTATGATAGCTGGGAAGGAATTTCTTAGAAATCTAATTTCAAAGAAGTGGGGGGGGGGGGGGGGCACACAACTAA